CAAAAGAAATTTTGAGAGTCAATCAATTTTTTTTAAAATATTTTAAGCAACTAATTATTGTGATTTATAATTTTAAAAAAAATATAATTTCCATATATATACACTTGGAAAAAGTAATTTATGAAAGAGTTGTCAGTTAAGCGAGCCATAGAAATCCTAAGCAGAAGCATACTTTCATCTCTATAAATTTATATTTGCAAGTCTGAAAATAATACTTTTTTCACAGGACAAATAAGTAAATAAATATACATGTTTTGACATTTTTGTTCAACAATAAAACAATAATCATAACAACTTTTTTGGAGTAAGTACCCCTCACTTCCAATTCGAAGGTTGCGAGTTTGAGTCACCAAGGGAGCAAAAGAGTGGGAGCTCCTAGGGAGGGTTAAAAAAAAAAAACCCTTGGTCAGCAAGCATGTCGACCAAGAGCTGCTTGTGTTAAGACTCTTATATATAGTAGAAATAATAAATAATAAATATTGAGGGTTACTCCCCCATTTTCATTTACATGTCGTCTCACAGTAGTAAAAATAGATGTTTTTTTACTACTCGTCATTTCACAAAATTAATATATAAATAATATTATTCTCTCTATTTTATCTTTGAGAGTTATACGCTTGAAATTATGAATACAATTAAAATAGAAAAACTAAAAGATTAATTCACGACATTGATCAATTTAATTAATCAAAATAAACTATTTATGCTTATTTATTGAAAATTTGACTTCAAAAGAACACTAAATAAAAATACAATGGTAAACTTACTTAGTTTCATAAGAATCGTAAAATCTAAAATGGTGACATATAAATAAGAACGGAGAGAGTATAATATAATTCTCTATATTTTCCTTTTTTAGTTAACTCATTTACATGGGTGGTTTTTATATGAGTTCAGAGTCAAAATGGCCATTTTTTTCTGCCAAAATGCATAAAAGGCCATTGAATTATTATTTTTTATACAAAAACAGACAACTCGTTGCTAGGGCAGCGAGATCCTTTCTCAATTTTAACACCATTAGTGACGTCTAAAATTCAATCTTTTTCGTTGTTGGTGCAACGATTTCTTTGATTTTTTTTTTCTTAAATCGTTATAGGGGCAGCGATTTCATCAAAAAACAAATTCCTTTAAGTCGCTGCAAGACAAGCGATATACTTTTAAAAAAAAGGCCAAACCCATCAGTGGCCCCTAAAGTTGGCACCAAGTTTCACTTAGACACCTTAACTAGGCGATGTTCATTTTACACATCTCATGTATGGTTCTGTTGTGTCATTTTGACACTTTTTGCTGACATGTCAAAAGTGAGTGTGATACACTTAACAATAGAGCGTGAAAGGATTAATTTAGCCATTTTTAATTTACTTTCTCTTCTTCTTCTCAATATTTCAGGCCACCACCCTCGCCTTTTTTTCAAGCTTAAACTCCTTCAATGGAGGTCAAATTTTTTATTCAAATTCGTTTTTAAGTCATTTTTCTTCTTCTTCATTGCATTACTTTTCTAAATCTACCATCACCTCCCTCCACTTTTTGCCGAAAAAATACCAACACCCATATTTCATTTTTATTCTCTCTTTCTTTCTTCCTCTCCCTCTTTTCTTCCCAAAAAACAACACTAAAAAGAAAGAAGAAGAATAAATATGAAAAATCGTAAAAGAAAAGAATAATTTTTTAAAAAAAGTTCAAAAGAGATTTTGAGTGTAATGAAAAAAGAGATTTTTTTAGAATAATATTTTTATTTTATTTACTAAATAGATTTTAAAATAATTTTTAACTGAAAATAATACATGTAAATTGTAATCATTTAATTGATTGTTTGTCACGTCATTAACGAGTGTATTACACTCTCCTTCAGTTTTTTGTCAGAAAAGTGTCAAAATAATATAACGGAACCCTACATGAGGTGTCTAAAATGAACATCGCTTAGTTGAGGTGTCTAAGTGAAACTTGTTACCAACTTTAGGGGGCCACCGATGAATTTGGCCTAAAAAAATAAAATTATTTGTGTAGTTGAGTAAGACATGACGCTATGTATTCTATTAATTATGAAGTAATAAAAACTTCCTATTAATATTTGATACCATTCTTTAATGGAAAAAAAGATAACTTTTCTTTAAAAAAACGAAATTAGGACATTATAAACTTGGTTATTGCCTTATTCGTGTAGGCCTAATTCAATTATCCTTAATGTCATAAGTTTGTAGTAGTATAAATATTAGTATATATTTAAAATCATAATTTTATCCTTTTTTTTTAATTTTAAAAGCAGTTTTTTCAGTTCTTATGTTCGATTAATTTATATCACAAACGCAAAAAATAAAGATATGTTTCTTGATATGTCGGCAATACAATATAAGCTTTCTTAAAAGATAACTACATGTCTATTTTGCTATTGCTGGTGTATTAATCATTATTTTCCCTTTGTCCCACAAAATTTAAATTAATTGGAAAAATTCCGTTGATGTTACTTAGCTTCATTTCATTGATTTAATTATCCGAAAAGTTTCTCATTTTCTCTTATGTTGAATAATTTACTTCATATACAGTTAAAGTTCTTTATACGTTGTTTGATTTGTTGAGAATATAAAATATAATATAACAAGAAAAAATTACTTAGCAAAATAATTAACTATTAATATATTGTACTATTGTTACAGAGAATGAATATTATAATAAAGATTTAAAGTTTGTCTATTAACAAAAAAAAACGTGTTACAGTTGGGAAGAAAACAAATGCATAATTTTTTTTTTAAAGAAATCACTGGTCTTGCAGCATTTTTTTTATAAAAAAATTTGTATGAAATCACTCCCTAACGGCGATTTAAGAAAGATATTTTTTTAATAAATGAAATCGTTGCCCCTACAATGAGAGGGATCAAATTTTAGATGTCGCGTCTAACGATGTTAAAATTGAGAAAGGTTCTCGCTGTCCCAACAACGAAATGTCCATTTTGATATAAAAAAAAAATTCAGTGGCCTTTTATGCTTTTTGAAAGGAAAAAGTTGTCCCTTTAGATCCGAACTCCTTTTGATATAGCCTTAAACCTATTTATAATGATGTCAGAATTGTAAATTCTTATTCTAAACTATGTTGCTCTTTGTCAATAAAAGACATATTTTGAAAATTGATTTTTTTTCTTCAACTTCAAATCTACGTAGTTGAAGTTAAAAATTTGCATTTAATATTTATGTAAAAAAAATTGCCTTAAAATTTCAATTATATGTGCGTAAATTTATTTTGAGCTCACCAATTATATTAGTTGGCAAAAACTTATATCATTGTTTGGTAGCAATTGAAAAATGATAGGGATTTGTTTGACCTTACTATTTTTTAAGAGAACGGGGACACGTAGAATCGATATTTACGTTTTGTGAAATTGGGATGATGGCCAAATATTGAATATGGGGCCCTCCATGATGGTAATGTGAGTGGTGAAATTAAAGGATTAGTAGCTACATATTTATGTCATATGGGTGAGTGGTAGCAACATAGTGACAGGTTTGTTTCTATCATTAATTAAAAATCTTTAATTTTGAGTTGGGGTACAATGAGAATTTAAAAATCTTTAATTTTGAGTTGGGGTACAATGAGAATTTTATTGAGAACGTTATTTTCGAATGAGCTCTGCAGTAAGCTATTTATATTTAAGCGTAAATTAGGAGGTGATGATGAGTTATATTAGGACAACTCAAATGTAGAGTGTTTGAGCCTGTTTAGTATTGCGGCTAAAAATTGTTTATTTTTAGATGCACTTTTTAAAAATAGTTTTTTAAAAAAGTGCTTTTGAAAAAATAATCATTTATGTTTGGCTAATTCATTTGAAAAGTTCTTTTGATAAACAAATTATGTTTGATTAATCTTTTTAAAAAAAATATTTTTGAGGGTCAAATTACGAAAAATGGTAAGTATCAATGTGTTTTTAATATTAAAATTTTAGAGAGAAACTATTTTAAACATCAAAATTTTTTAATTAAAATTTACATATTTATAAATTTAAAAACCACTCCATAAAAACCACTATATACGAAAATTCACCACAAAAATAAATAAAGTCTTTCATATTTTTAATCCTACAAAAATATTGTTGTTACCTTTTTTCTAATTCTGTAAAATAATACTTAAAATATAAAATTAAATAATTATATATAAAAATAAAAAAATAAAATTCTTGAATGAAACTTAACCAAATTTATGAGATATACTAATTAATTAATAAAGGATATATTGGTAAATATGTATATATGGAAGATATATTTTATTCTTTAAAAAATAATTTTCTTCTTCTGCATTTTTAAGAAACAAAATTTTTTAGCTTCTTCCCAATATCAGAAAAATTGTTTTTGCTTCCTTTTAAAAGCGGTTTTAAGAATTTGCCAAACACTTAATTTTTCAAACAAAGTATTTTAAAAAAAACCACTTTTAGCCTCCCAACAACAATGTCAAACATGCTCTTAGATTGAAGTGTTTGCGTAAGTTAAAAAAGAGTTTATAGGTATCGTTCAAGTTAAAATGCTAAAAATATATCATAAGTTAGGAATTCTAATTTATGTTTTTTGACTTATAAATCAAAAATGAAAAGTTAAACCAAACATATGGGGGATAGTTTGATTTTTAAAGTATAGAAATTGAAGGTATAAATAAGAGCCCGTTTGCATTGACTTGAAAAAAATAGTAATTAAAAAAATAAAAAGTCAAACTTAAATAAGTTTTAAGTCAAAAAAATAAAAGTAAGAATGGCCTCTTTTGCTCTTTTAACTTTTTAAAATTATTTTTAATTTTGTCACACTTTTAAAAAAAATTAAAAATAAGTTTAACCAACTTTTAAGTCAAATCCAAATGAACTCTAAGTTTTACCCATTAATTCTATGTTCATTATGTTGGAATTAAGGTGCAGGCAGGTGCGAATAGGAAATGAAAAGAAAAAATGAATGGAGGAAAGTTTGAAGAATTTTCTCACTCATTGTGGATTGAATAGTTTTCTTTGGCAAATTAAAATTGGGGCATGGCAGCAACAATAAGATTGCTTCTTTCTTTGCTCATTTTAATGGTGAAAATTGGCGATACTGAACAGGTATTAAAGCTTCAAAATCCACTATTGATGAATTGCAAATTTGATAGAATTTATCAGTTTGGTGACTCACTTTCGGATACCGGAAACTGCCTGAGAGAGAGCTATTGTGGAGCTCATTCTCGGTGTAGAAAGGTTCCTTATGGAATGGATTTTTACCAGAATGCAAGTGGGCGTTGTTCTAATGGCATGCTCATCATTGACTTCATAGGTATGAATTGAATCGTCAATTACAATAATTATATATACATATTTTTGTTTAATTTCTCTCTTATAATATACAGCTATTGAATGTGGTCTTCCTCTCCTAAATCCATACAAGGATGAAAATGCAGAATTTAGACATGGTGTGAATTTTGCAGTAGTAGGGGCTACTGCTTTAACAACCGAATCACTCGCACAGAAGAATATTGTTAACCCAGATACCAATAGTTCATTAAGTGTGCAACTTGATTGGATGTCTTCTCATTTCCAGACCACCTGCTCCCCTGCAAGTTATTCATTAATTTGCTAAATATGATTATTCGCTTATGCAAATTGCACTAACTAATTTTCTTTCTAGATTGCCCAGAAAAATTGAACAAGTCACTTTTCCTAGTTGGAGAAATCGGAGGAAATGAATTCATTTATGGCTTAACACAAGGTAAAACCATGGACGAATCGCGAAGAATGGTGCCGGAAATTGTTCAGACCATCATTCATGGTGTTAAAGTGAGTTCATTCCTTTAATCTTCAAATTTTAGATATCCCTTGTCACTCATAATTGCCAATGGTAGGTGGGGGTGTTGGAGGCCTCATGAGTAGTAGAGCCATGCCTGCAATAGCAGGGGATTCACATTCTGACTTAATTTTTCTAACCTAGGGATGACAATAGAGTAGGGTTTGACGGGGCCGGCTAAGTCTTCCTGTCCTGCTCTGCTTTATTTAGATTTAGCCTCCTGCCCTAATTTATCCGTCTAGCCCCACCTGATTTAGCCCATTACATGGTTGTTTCGATCAAAGATTTATTATTATAAAAAGATTAATAATGTAAGGATTAATAATATAGGGATTAGTAATGCATAATTTATTTTTATCAAGTGTCCCGTATTTGCATAAAGACACCTTAACTTTCAAAGTGTCCTATTATCCCACAAAACTATTTAATATCGTTGTAAATGGGTCATTTTGACCCATTCCCTCGTCTGGGTTGTTACCACGCACATGAGGCGCGTCATTCAATGTTTTCACTGTCATGGACCAGTTTAAAAGTGCCACGTGTCATTTTCTTTCTTTATTATCAATTATTTAATCAATTTATGTCATCTTCCCCAATTTTAAACCCAAAATAGCCGTTGGTAGCCCTAATTTTTTGATTTCATGGTTTTTTCCATAGCAAGATCAAGTGATTTCAAACACCAAAATTTTTTGATTTCATTGGTGGTCAATGGTTTCCCACAGAGTTCTGGATTACCTTCGAAACACGAAGGATCAGTAAAGGTGCCAAATTGGTTTGTTGATGGGATAGGGCCATGAAGGTTGTTATGTGACAAGTTAAGATAACTCAATGAAGTGATGGATGCCATGTTTAATGGGATAGGACCTGAGAGATGGTTAGATGAAAGGTCTAGTGTCTCCAATTGTTGCATGCTCCTTATGTCCTCTGGAATTCTTCCTGATAATTGGTTCCAAGATAAATTCAGAGTGCTCAAGGCTGACAGAGCTGTTATCTCATTCGGGATTTCACCCTGAAGATTGTTGCAGGAAAGATCAATAAGATTCACTTGATCTAAGGTAAAAGTGTAAGTCTGCTTTGTTCCTTTCACAACCAACTCCATCTTGGGTGTAAAAACATAACTGAAATAAAGGTAGTTGGGAAACCACTTGTAAAATTTCACTAACTTGAGACCTCTCAAGGTTCCCAGGCAAGAAGGGATAGAGCCTGTCAGATTGTTATGTGAAAGATGGAGAATTTGGAGGTTAGAAAGTTGGCATAGTTGTGGTGGAATGCGTCCATGAATCATGTTACCTGTCATTCTGAGCTTTTGCAGAGATAAGAGACTTTCTCCGAACCACTCCGGTATGGTGCCAGTGATTTTGTTCTCTCCAATATCAAGGGCACGCAAGCTATTGCAATTCCTCAAAGATTTTGGAAGCCCTCCAGAAAGGTTATTGCGGCATAATCTCAACCAAAAAAGTGAAAGTGGTGAACAAACTGAAGGAGGAATAGTACCTGAAAGATTATTCCCTGACAAATCTATGACTTGAAGTTGTTGCAAATCATACCACCAATCAGGAATCTTCCCAGACAAATGATTGTCTGAAAGGTCCAATCTCAATAGCTGCTTGACTCTTGTTATGGAATATGGTATAGTTCCTATAAAAGCATTTCCAGAAAGATCTAACACTTGAAGTTTTGTCATCACATGACCAATGTTTAAGGGTATGTATCCTGAAAACCAGTTGTTAGCAAGATTCAAATGTGTCACAGTTGGCCAAAGAGGTAACGAACCATGGAAGTGATTGGAACTCAAGTCCACCACGACACCATAATAGTAACTAAAATAGAAACCCACCGTCCAGATTTGGTATGTCGATGGAAAATTTACTATCCTCGGTAGACTTCCACCAATTTGATTATCTGATAGATCGAGCAAATGAAATTGTGAGCACATCATCCAAAGCCAAGGAGGTATAGGTTCTGAAATGGAGCCATTGGTGAGAATGACCCACTGAAGTTGCTTTTGAATCTTTAGCCATGTTGGAAACTTGGGACCCAAACTGCAACTTCTGAGCTCGATACCATAGAGGCTAAATGGAGGAACCCATTCATTGCTCAAGTTGACTGAAAAACTTCTTCCACAAGATAGGGATAAAACTTTCAGTTGATGGAGTCTTTCAAAGTGATTTTGTGAAAGATTGCCTTCCAAAGCATTTGTTGTCAGCCGCAACTCAGTTAATTCTGAAAAATTAAAAATACTCTCAGGCAAGGCTCCCTTCAGTTGATTCTCTCCCAAGGACAAAATTTCCAACCGTGAAAGCTGCTCAATAGATGGTGGAATAGTGCCAGAGACCATATTAAAAGAAATACTAAGAATCCTTAAGTTCTTCAGATGTCCTAATGAATTTGGCAATTCCCCTGTCAACACATTTTCGCCTAGAGATAATACCTCTATCGTAGGGTTGCTGCAGTTGGACAATCCTTCCACCACTCGACTTATGTCTCCATTAAGTTTGTTCTGCTCTAGATACAACTTCTGCAAATTACAGAGTTTACCCCATTCAACATTTGATATTGGGCCTTGGATGTTGCTGTATACCATATAAAGTGTCTCAATGGTGGTGGCATTAGACAACCATTTAGGCAACTCAGAATTAACAAACTTATTCTGTGAAAGGGAGAGATAAGAAAGAGAAGTCATATTCCAGTTTGGGAAGGAATAAGGAAGATAGTGAAGACTACAGTTTTGCAAACTGAGAGTCACTAAGGATGGCAGCTTATTAATAGAATCAAGCCAATGTGTTGCCGAAGAAAGGTTCACATAAGAAAGATGAAGATACTTCAAAGAAGACAGACCGGAAACCCAATTCAAATCTTTGACCCAACTTCTTTCAACATTATCGTAAGGATAGGAACACGCACGGAAGTTTAGATACTGCAAATTTGATAGATTTCCAAGTGAAGGAGGAACACCAATAAGAGATGAAAAAGAAAGGTTAAGATACTGTAATTTCTTTAGAGAAGACAAGAAATTGGGAGTGGTAAGTCCTTGGAAGTCATTACCACCAAGGTCTAAATACTCCAAGTGATGCAAATCGAGTAAATCAAAACTTATGTTGCCACCCAAGCATGTTGAATTGCCTGGAATCAAGTATCCCACTTTCTTCCAATAGCAATTGTCTGTTCTATCATTGAGATCAAGCCTGATGACATTATAACCAGCGTCACAATAAATGCCTTTCCAGATGCAGCATTCTTTGCCAACCCAAGAAGCCAGTCGATCAGAGGGATCAGTGAAACCTTGTTTGAATCTTAATAGAGCATTCCTCTCACTTTTAACACATCTCACTTTGGCTTCAGTAGTGTTTGTGAGAGGTAAAGATACAGCTTTTATGGCTTTGACTGAAACAGGTAGAGGAAAGGAAAGAAGAAATAAAACAAGTAGAGCAACTAAAATTTTCCAACATGCCATTTTAGTTGATCTTATACTAATAGAGATCGATGGGTATAGTTTAAAGCACTGTATATTGCTAGCATTAGTTATTTGGGCCTGTTTATATAGAAAGACAACCCATAACAGAGGACCATATATTTCTCCTTATGATTCAGTTTCACTACTGTCTTACAAGTAACTTGTAGTTTGCGTAATTGAAATGAGGACAAATATTTTGAAGGTCAAGTCAAGTCCTGTGGAATAATAGTGCTAATTAAGTAGCCGAAAATGGAAGGCAAAAATTAGCGTTAATTGTGGTCCTCTGCATACCTTAGTTGGAGAGACTAGAGACAATCATGACTTTGATTTCTCATATGTTCACTCAACTAATAGTTAGTTATTATCTCAAAAAGTCATAATAAAATAGAAATGATTTTTCAACTATCATGAAGTATCCATGATTGAAATTAAAGCTAAACAATTTTTATCCTCTGTGATGCTGTTACATATCATAATAATTAAACAATTTTTATCCTCTGTGATGCTGTTACATATCATAAAATTATTGATGTGATTGAGCATGCATAGTACAGTTTAGTATCCTCACCAAATTAATATCCTCATCAATGTTTTTTTTTCAGCTAAAGCACTCTTTTAACTTTTAAAAAGAGCTTTTACATAATTAGGTCACTTTAACTGAAACTTGTTACCCGGAAAATCAAGTACACAACCTACTACAACATGTTTAGCCAAATCTTTGTGTTTTCTTCTTCTTCATTTCTCCATCAAAAAACTTTGTTGATAATGAAGGTGAATCAATACTCTCTAAGCACTTAGAACAAAGCTCATAAACTAATTTGAATCAATACTTAACGAAATTTTGAAACCCAGCTCGTCTTCTTCAAGAAATCTAACTTCAAATTTTATTTTATTTTTTTGGAGGTTTTAAGAAAATTCTCCTCAAGATAATATGTCACATTATAACTCAATTTTGACCCTTTTTTTTTTCACAACTCAAATTTGATTTTTAATCCAAAAATCAATCAATTATAGATTTTTTTTTCTCGAAAAGCCACTTAATTTTGATTTTTAATTGAAAAATCAGTAAAGGCTTTACTTACAAAAATCACTCATTCTATTAAATTGATTTTTTAAATTAAAATTTGTTGATAAGAATTTTTTATTTAAAACCAAAATTTTTAAAAATAAAAAGATATTTATTTCAAGGATTTGTAGATGGACAATCACTGCTACTAGAACTGTATTAACTGTATTTGAGGTGGCTTCATACTTAGTAGGCTAAATATTGTATCGCCATATGAAATTATAATATAAAATATGTATTTGACCAAGTGATATCAGCTGAATTCATCTCCTCATTTTATATCATGATATGATATCTAAAATATATCAAAAAAACATGATGTGAGAATTTCAAATCATGATTTGAGATTTCTCAAATAGACAAATTGATTCATAAGTTTATTTTTGTAAAAAAACTCACATTTATATCTACTAACCATTTATTTCATATATAAATAAAATTTATAATTTATATCATTACTTTTTAAACTATTTATCTCATATAACGATTATACTCACCAACATAAAATTTATCTATACTTCAAATCAATTCCTACTTTACCATTTATATTCACCAAATTCATTATTTTTTTATCAAATTTATTTACCAAACAAATTTATCACTACATTCAAATGATCGAGAAATGTGATATATTAAAGACTTCTGTCATATAATCGAGAAATGCAATCTCAAGGTGAAAGGAGATTATCCATACTATGTGGGAGGATTATATTAAAGAATAGTACTACAACTTATGTTCAATTTTATTTTTTTATTCAATTAAAGCTGATCAATAAATGTTGTATTTTTTTAGGATAACTTTGTGATATTATATTATGCAATTTTATAATTTTTTGCTTATTGGTAAGACTTTATAAAGAATTGAGATAATTTTAATAGTTTTATCACTTATGTGATTTTAATATTTATGAGAAAACATACGACTTAAAAAGTCCAAATTACATGATTAAACAAAACTTTAACTTCATTTCACGATTTCATTTCCAATCGCATGGCCAAAACTTCTGACAAAAAAAATAAACCAAAAAGAGATCCATTGTCCAGTGTTATACCGAAAATAACATTCTATTTAATTTCTTTCAAAAGCTGGTGAAAGGAAAATGAGAAAAATAGGTATTTTCTTGTTTCTAAAATTTTTATATCAATGAATTTTAACCAAACCAATTAAATAGATTAAGTGATTTTAAAAGTAAAATTTCCATATAGTTAATTAGGGGTGTATATGACCGGATTGGTTCGGGTTTTTCAAATATCAAACCAAATTATTTGTGCAAAAATTTTAAATTTATAAACCAAACCAAATTAATAAAATTCAGATTTTTTTGGGTTTTTCAACCTCGGGTTGGTCCGGGTTTTTCAAATACCAAACTAAACCATTGGGTCGAATTTTTTAATTTATAAATCAAACCAAAATAATAAACCTCAGATTTTTTTCGGATTTTTGGATTTTTTCGGTAAAGTTTGCATACAAACATATAATTAACTTGTGCTCCAAAATATTTCTTTAGTCCAACCAAAATACAATTATCTAAGGTGTTTCTTAAAAAAATAACACAAAATATGAGATGAGTATTGATGACACACAAATATTCAATAAAAAAACAATAATGAAATCATCATATAAAAAAAATATTGCAAAGTCATAATGAAAATGATCATAATTTAAAAGTACTAAATCATGCTAAAATTATAAGTTTAATAAGTATTAGTTACATTACTAAATATTTAAGGAAAATTAAAATTAGATTAACTAAAGAACAAATATTCAATATTATTGTCATTCTTAGTGTTGAATTGATTTTCTTTTTGTATTAGTATTAATTTGATTTTGATTTAAGTTTTATTATAATTATCAACATCTATGAACTATAATCTTTATTGGACCATTTCGAATTCTATGTTTTAAACTTGAAATAATATATTAAAAGATAAAAACTATGAAATAGTATAAAAAATATTTTAAAATTATATCAAAGTAAATATTTTTATGTATAAAATAAAATTTTAAAATTACATATATAATGTCGGGTTGGTTTTTTTAGTTAAAACCAAACCAACCCAAATATAGTTGGGTTTTTTTTTCCAATACCAAACCAAGTCAAACCAAACCACTAGTCGGATTTTTTTCCGATTTGACTCGATTTGCGGTTTAATTTGGTTTTCGGTTCGGTTTTGTACACCCCTATAGTTAATTAAGTAAAAATGGAAGTTAATGACTTTATGGGAAATAAAATCTATAATTGAGTGACTTTTAGATAAGAAAATTCATTCTTGAGTTCCTGTTAGGCATTGAAAAATACAAACTTGATGTAATAATCTTATATAGCATATTGATAATTTTATATGTGTTTTTTCTCTTTAGAAAATTGATTTTTCTTTTCCTACTTGTAGGATTGAACACGCATACAAGTACTTTGTTCTTATCAGCTATCATATTCAACAACCCCATAACACGCAGGCTAAGACAAAAAAATGCCTTTCTTACTTTATCATAAATATATATATGCGAGGATCAAATACATTTGTACTCTAACCACACACAAATTTACATGTATAAGCCCATAATTTATTTGTTACTAATAATAACACTTCTTTGGATGGGCCGGTTAAAATATTTTTTTGAAAAGTTAAAGAGGATTAAAAAATCCACTCTGTTCATTACTTTAGTTTCTCTTTATTGTCTCAGCGAATGCAGAAGTTATAATTTAAACTGATAGTTTGTAAAATTCAATTCGACTATGGAAATTTACTTATGCTGCCTCTTAACTGAAAGAGTAATTGTAGGGATCTTCTTCCGATAATAAACTTTAAGACACTAACAAAGAATGCCCGACACGATAGCAACGAAATGATATTCAAGTCTAAACTTTTCCTTTCAATTTAAACCAAGAGAACTAAATCAAGCAATACGAAGAACGAACAACAAGTATATCAATAAAATAAAAAACAACAAGACAAGAATATACCAATCACATAGACACACAAATTTATGTGGAAAATTCTTCGATGTAAAGAGTAAAAAATCACAGGACCAAAAGCTTCACTATAATCACCAAGAGTTACAATATTATTTTCTCCAAAATTGGCCACAAAACAAGTGTCAAATAACGAAACAAGATTGGACAAAAATTAGAGAACTAAAGGAGAGAATTCAACCAAAAATGAGCTACTGTTCACGCCCCAAACTTAGAATCTATAGACAACCAAATCCAATCTCCACCATTGAAATGCAAGAACCAGATGCTGAGAACTCCCATTTTAAATTTGAGCACAATCCAATGAAGAGACAAACTCTGTTTAAAATGGACTGCCCTAACAGAAATTTCCTAAAATAAAACATTTTTTTTCTCTTTAATATTTTAAATTTGAGCACAATAACCTCATAGAAAGGGAAAAATATCATGAACTCAATAATAACTGGGATGACATTCCCTAAACTATGCCTGGTCCCAATGGCCCTAATCACGTGCATACCAGTTGGAATAACAGCTGATGTTGCTGTCGACATTCTGCAATTTTCTGACTTTAATATTTTTCATTTAAAAATAAAAAGCACATACTAGGTGCCACAAAATACCTTAATCTTATGTATTATATTTCTTTTGGAACTTGTGGTTGTAGGGGCAACAAGATAACCTTAATCTTAACTAGGTTGTAAAATTGGACTGAGCTTTGGGCCAATCTATATATGTGGATGATTGAACTGAACATATTATGTGTTTAATGTTGATTTTGACTAAGATATTGAACATATACATTTGTGGCCCTAGCTCTCTGATAATAATGTGAGTGGTGAAATGAGTTGTAGTAGTCAAGGATAGTGGATGCATGTATTATATGTACGTACAACTCTGAATAGTTTTCTTTGTCAAATTAAAATTGAGTTATGGCAGCAACAATAATATTGCTTCTTTCTTTGCTCATTTTAGGCGAT